CATACTACTCGGCTCGCATACTGAATTTAGCATACTATATAGTATGGAAGTATGCGGTTTCGGACGCAGCCAGACTCATCTGCTCAATTGGGAACACCTGAGTTCCCCTCTATAAAAGCTAGCAGTGTTGGCTTGTGAAGGCCGTGCTTTTGCTCCTGTTTGTTTTGTTTTGTTTCTTTTGAGCTTTGGTTAATATTTGATTTTGCTGACCTAAAGTGAGCACTTGATTATTCTTTAATGTTTAAATAAATTCTTATTGGTACCAAACCATCTGGTGTATGTCCTCCCTTTAATTTTGTCATTGCCTTTGAGTCGGGTCGTGACGCATTGGAAATTAAAAACTTGTTTTTTGTGAACAGCCCCTAAAAGGCGCCATAGAAATACAGAACAAATATATATCTGGAAAAAAAATCTAAATTTTGCCTTTAACTGCTGTTTATTAAGATCTTAAATGCTGGTTTATCAGTCAAAGAATCTGTTCAGTGTTCAGCGCTCTGCTGTTCGGGAGTGGGATTGTCATCTCATCAGGTCTGCATGGCTGTGTGCCGATGTGTGGATTCTCTTCTGCTCAGGATGGACGGTGAGTCATTTTCTCCCCCGCTGCTCTTCCTCTCTGCCAGCAGTGGGATCTCCATGGATTCGCACACTCTTGCCTGAATAATCCATCCCTGATTGGGTCTTCTTCCTGCCTCCACGCTGACCAGACTGGCATCTGTGATGCATCATCCACCATACATCACAACTGGACATATATAGGATTGAATCCAGCCATATAACAATAATAATATTAATAATACAATAATAGTGGTGGCATTGTGGCTCAGTGGTTAGCACTTAAGCTCAAGAAGGTTGCTGGTTCGAGTCCCGGCTGGGTCAGTTGGCATTTCTGTGTGGAGTTTGCACGTTCTCCCCATGTTCGTGTGGGTTTCTTCCGGTTTAAAGGTTAAAGACATGTGGTATAGGTGAATTGGGTAGGCTAAATTGTCCGTAGTGTATAAGTGTGAATGGGAGTGTATGAGTGTTTCCCAGGGATGGGTTGCAGCTAAGTTGGCGGTTCATTCCACCGTGGCAACCCGAGATTAATGAAGGGACTAAACCGAAAAGAAAATAAATTAATGATTGAAGATTAAAATAATATTGGCGGCAGGGTGTCTCTGTGGTTGGCACTCTCGCCTAATAGCAATAAGGTTACTGGTTCGAGTCCCGGCTGGGCCAGTTGGAGTTCTGACTTCATCTGTATTTTTCAGCCTTTATTTCCATTCGAACCTTTATTTCCAAAACTTCGAGCCATTTGCTAATCAATTTCAAACAGGTTGTTTACATAGCGTTAGCAATAGCGTTAGCATTCTCTCTCCTTCAGCCTCCAGCCTCCAGCTGCAGTCCCATATGGAACCTATAGCTCTTGTTTTTTGGGTCCTTTCCGAATGCATTCCTGTATAATGACATCCTGACCAGAGACTGTATCATCCTCTCAGCGGACAATCCTGACGGATCCCCCCTTAGCAGTGCGCAAATATGTTAGTGTTTTATGAATACGAGTTGTATTGGTGTAGGACTTGGTGGTTAACTTAATCTGGCAAGACAGCGAAAGGCAAAGGGCAGGGTTTTCTCAGTAGGGGACGTAACCCTGTTATATGAGCCATTACACAAGGATCCTGATCACTGCCTAATGGGTTAAGTCTGAAAATGGACGCGGTAACTCTGTTAGCTTAAACTGTCAAAAAGCATTTCAGGAAGTAGTCATTCATGCTTGTTATTATGACAGCAGCACATTTAGCGGAGGTGATAGCGGAGTGTGCCGCCTCACTGAAAAGGTGTTACCGCTTGACCCAATACTGTAAAAAATATCTGCTAATGATCTGTTTACGTATATTTGTGTCTGGTTTCTATTTATTTATGGTTGTGAATTGCATTATGGGATGTTGATCTCTGCTCTGTCGACCTTTGATGATGGAAATCCAACTCGACGGTTTACCAAAGTTACTTTTATTGACATTTAAATGGTTTGATACATATATATATATAAATATATATATATATATATTTATATATATATATATATATATATATATATATATATATATATATATATATATATATACATATATATATACATATATATATATATATATATACATACATACATACATACATACATACATCTATATATATATCAAACCATTTAAATGTCAATAAAAGTCACTGTATATATATATATATATATATATATATATATATATATATATATATATATATATATATATATATATATATATACAGTGCATCCGGAAAGTATTGATAGCGCTTCACTTTGTCCACTTTTTTTTTTTACAGCCTTAATCCAAAATGGATTAAATTAATTTATTTCCTCTAAATTCTACACACAATACCCCCTAATGACAATGTTAAAAAAAGAGTTTTCTATCTATGTAAGGTCCCAGGGTTGACAGTGCATGCCAAAGCACAAACCAAGCATGAAGACAAAGTAGACACAGGATTA